TCCTTCATATATGTGTATTTCAAATATCTAAATAAAACCAAATCTCGATTTTTTGAAATTCCAACACCCCCCAACTCCTATTTATAAGTGAACTATCAGCCCTAAAGCTGAAATGAAGAAAAGGAAATTATCTGTATATACAAAACTTGAATTTCCAAACATTTAAAGGTTTATAAACAAGAGAGGAGGAGGAGAGTATTAAAAAAAATTTAAAATTTTGTAGGTTAATGAGCTTTTTACGAAACTTTTACGTTGCTAGTATTTTTTTCAAAAATATTAAAAAAATTATTTGTTGCAATAAATTTCAGCCACTTTATTGCTATAATATCCAATAAAGCCTTTATGGCGAATAATATATAAGTATATTATATACTCGAATACATATAATTATATTATATTACAAATATATTGCTGAACTGCAAAATGCCAAAAAAAAAACGAAAACTGCTTTCTAAACTCATAAATATATTCGCGATCACGGCAAATTATTATTGTAGCGTGAACTAATATATCTCCCCCTCCCATATACATAACTACTAAACAAATAAGTTTAATGTTTACATTTATAATATTATTGCATATATTTATAGTATATGTAGGTAGATATGTGAGTTTATAAGTATATCTATTTCGTGCATATATTAGTCGAATGATAATTTTGTACGATTTGCGGCATTATTTATTATTCACAATTAAGCTTCGAACTAATCGCCATGTTGTTAATATACAATTTAAAACCGCAAATGGCATGGTTCAACGCATTAACATGAGCGAGAAACTGATCATGTTAGCACAAAGCGGCGACAAACACCCCCAAACCAAATGGAGTGCTATTTGACAAGTAGTAAGCATTAGTATTAGCAGGCAGCTACCAGACAGACATTAGTTCACAGCGGGTTATAAGCAGGTTTCTTTTAAATCGAATTAATTTCTGCACCTACATACATACAAACAACATACATATGTATGCGCATATAAACGCCTTCTCTAGCTACATAATATATATACATATCTATATGTATGTATATATATAGATGCATTGCGCTTTATATGCAAATGTGCCAAATATTGACTGCCACATTCGTATATTACTTTGCTGCAGCCTGCAATATTATTGAATGTAGAAAAAAATCAATAAACAAATCTCACAAAAATTGGCTAAAAAAATCGTACAAAAATTTAACAAAATTAATTTAATTGAATTATACTCAAATGAGTATCTTATATAATTGAATGTATATGTATTGGCGCTAGGCATTAAAAATGCAAAATCAAGCTGATCGTGTTAATATTTTAGTGTCGCTTGCACATACAAATAAATGCACATATGTTTATTTATGGGATAAATTGAATATTAAAACTTTTATAATAATGTCAACGCGTCAATTTATATATTTCTGTAAAACAACTGATTTTATGACTTCGGTTGCTTCTAGTTTATAATACGCTTCACAAAAAAAAAAGCTAAAAAAAATAAATTAAATAAAATAAAATAAAATAGAGAAAAAATTACACAAAATACTATATAATAAAATAAAAATAATTTAGTTTAAATTAAATAACAATGAATAAAGTAAAAAAAGCTTAATAAACTTACATTTATTAAGGAGTTATATCCACTTGTAATTGATATATTTACATTTTTCGAATATACATGCATTTGAAAATATTCCCCGGCAATTAGTTTTGTAGATATGAACGTATTTCTAAGAAGCTCAGTATATTGGGCTCCCAAAACTTTAAACGCGTTTTTTCGAAACTCTGTTTTCAGAGCCGGTGTGGAAAATTTCTCTCCAACGGCTGAACCGATCAGCTTGAAATTGTCTCACGACATTTTTAAATATATTTCTTAGGTAATGATCGAACGGAATAAGATTTTCGACAGGGATTTCGATTTTTTAAGCCACTCTGAATTGTAAATTTTCTCACAAAAAATTAATTAATTTCTCAAAAAACTAAATTTTCACTATTCCTTTGAATTTTAAATTTTCTCACAAAAAATTAATTTTTTTGTTTGGGAGGCCGCCATTTTCTCAAAAAACTAAATTTTCACTATTCCTTTGATCCTTACCTGTATTCATCTATCATTATAGTAAATTTCATTGGTTTCTGGTTTCAGATAATTTGACGCCAAAATATCTTCCTCACCACCAGACACCTTTTTCAGGAGGTCTTTCTGGAGATCGGCTATAGGAAAAATATTTTTAAAAATTAATCGTTGATTCTAAAAGTACTTTAAATTCACTTTATGTTCACTTTTTTACAAATAAAATGCCGCTTCTAAAAAATGTCACAAAAAAACGAATTTTTTCGGACTTGCAAGTGGATGTAACCCCTTAACATGTTTTATTAAACTCTTATATTAGGGACACGATGCAAAATGTAACGCCTTGTAATAACACGTTTATTGAGGCTTATGCAGCTGTGACTTGTGTTTGCCGCTTTCTTTCGTTATTCTTTTTACTAGACCGCAGCGCGTAGGTGGAACTCATTTGCATATTAAAATCAAACACACAAAACCAATGTGGAAAAACGTAAGCAAAGAACAAAAAATTGCTTTTAAATGAGAGAAAATAACAATATCGATCGCTAACCGGCGATTACCGCCGATCGTGCTACTAGCTGTTGAGTGGCAGCTAACTGTTTGCTACAACGTTTACCTGGCGCGAGCAGCAGCAGTTACAGTTACTTTGAAATTGGGCTTTCGAAAAAGCATTTAACTCACTATTTATTGACGCAAAATTAAACGTTACAACAGCTATAAACAGCGAGTAATGCACAGCACTAAAACAACAATAACAACCACTACGAGGCACCACCCGCAATTGAAGAAAAAACGTTTTTAACTCATCGCACAAAATGAAAATGCTCATAAACATTAAAATTAATGTCACTTGTGAGTGTGTTTTGGCATTTTCGTTTGGATTTGAGGCAAATGGCTGGCCAAGCGGCGGCTTCAGCGGCTTTGCCGATCAGTCGATTGGTTAGCTAGCTGTGGCTTCTGTATTGCTGTGTGTTGTTGTTCCAGAAATTTTGCGCCGCTTCAGCAGTCTTTCGCTTTAGCTTTGGTTTTTTGTTTGTTTTATAATTTTTTTCTTATAGTTTCATACTTTTTTTGTTCCTGCCTTATTATCCACTCACTGAGTGCGCCAAAGCTGCTGACTGACGAATTTATGGATCAATTTAGGTTGAAAAGAAATTAGAGATCGTTAAGAATTCCAGCGTAGTAAAACAAATTTATTTATTGTTGTATTGAGATTGTCGTTGTTACTGACTTGCTGAGCGCTGTGCTTTTGTTTTTTTTTTCGCTTTTTTGTTGCTTTTTTGGTGTTGTCTATGGCGCTGTAGTCTTTATCGATGTTCGAGAATAAAGTTATTAATGTTGTTTTTGTTAGATATATTTTAGTTGCTGCAGCTAGTGTGCACATATGTATGTATACATTTTATTATTGTCATATCTTCGCTTTTATTTAACGATATCGTGTCTATGGCTAGCAAACTTGTTATTTATGTCGTTAACGAGCAAGTCGTAAAATGTTTTGAAATCAACGTCTGCGCCTTTTCTTTCGCCTTCAACGCGCTAATATGAAACAAAACTCCTTTTCAACCGCACAAAAGCCACTAAAAAATACCGCAATGTATTAATTTTCGTTATGTCGATTTTTATTATATTGAAATGAAATGCGTGTTATGCAAAGAACATTTCCATTTTTTCTAAAGTCGATCAAAACGAGCGATCGGCGATCAGTAAGTATGTGTGTGTTAATATACTTGCATATGTACATACATATGTATTATATATGAATATATGCATATTTAGTTGGCTTTTTGTTTGTTGTTGTGTTTCGACTTGATGGATTTGTTTGGGAATTTTATTGATTTCTTCTAAAAACCTGAATATACATAGATATACATATACATATGTACATATGCATATGTGAGACTTTTTAGGTCAAGAAATTTATTACTCGAATTTTTATAAATTTAAATTTTAAGATTTTTGATACCAACAAGATTAGGTGAAAATGTATGTACATATGCTCTCAACTTTTTGTATTTTCAAATTTTTATACGCTGAACAGGGTTATTATTAGTTTTCCATAAGAAAATATTTTTTTCATTTCCCACAATAAACGGCATGAGTTCAGTTAACCTGAAATGTGTAAACAATAAATTGCAAAAAAAGAAATTACATTTATTTGACCTATAGAAACACGAGTTCCAAATAAATGTAATAAAAGTGAATGCCAAAGAAAATTATATGTAAACAATTCAATTTATTTTGTCCACGGCGCGGCAGGAAGTCAATGTTCGCATTAAATGCTATTTAAGCATTGCATAAAAGATGCCACAAATGTCAACGTAGCGGTTATGACACATGCCAACGCTGTCGGGCAGTGACCATAGCGACTTGTAAAGATTGCTACTAAATGCAGCAAAAAAAAGCAGCAAAAAAGTGAATTTGAATTTTTTTGTTTGTCTGCTATTCCTTTTAGTAAGCTAGGAACAAATATCTACGTGGTGGCGTCGGTGTTGCATGCCACAAAAGGTCGCTGCACAAAGACGACACAAAGTACCAGAAAGAAAAAAATATTTTACTTCGAGCCTTCACTATTGCCATGCTGCAGCGAAAGACAAGACTGCAAAGCACATGAAATATTACTAAGCACAGATAAAGAGGTCAAGGAGCGTCGCTTTGCTAGAGCTGTAGTAGTAACTAAGCAGCTAAGGAGCTGTGCGACCACCCTCGGTGTTGCAACGAAGACATATTGCAGTAAATTGCAAGACACATTGTTGCGGCTAAAGCTATTGTAGTTTGTGGCAGCATTGTTGTTATTAGACAAGGCGAAGCAAATTTGTCGCAGACGGGTTGTATTAAAATATGACATCAAAATTTGCGCTTTGGTAACAATAGCGCTCTTATATACATACGTACAATATATACCATCATATCGCTTAATATATACACGGACGATTTTACTAAAGCCTATACTACTTACCGGATTCGCATAAAAAGGCGGCTGCTCAGTCGCTATGCCCGATAGATACGCAGACATGCCCTCCGGATAGACACCTATTGGCACACCACCCGGTCCCGTGACAAGTCCGCCGGCGGCCGCCAAACGCTGGTAGCTGAGCATATCATATTGACATGAGCACAGCGTTTGACCGCTAACGGGATCCGTATAGATTGTGCGTCCAGTATCACAGCAACGATTTGAGCCTGGCGTACCCGGCGGTGGTGGTACACCGCCAGCACCAGGCGCACCCGGCGGACCACCAACCAAACCTGGCGGCAGGCCAGGCGGCCCACTACCCGGTGGACCTATAACCGAAACCGTTACACCACTACCTGGTCCACCCGCGCTGAGACTAGCGCCACCGGGTATACTACTACTGCCATATGGTGTGGCAGCCGTTGAACATGGCGATATGGAGCGTGCGCCCGGCGGTACTGTCGATGTTACGGCCATTGGATTACCGTTGGCGCTGTTGTTATGATGATGTTGAGCGGCGGCAGCAGCAGCAGCTGCAGCAGCGGCGGCGGCGGATGTGATAGTTAGCGGCGTTGCTAATGTGGACGTATTGCCCTTTGTGAAAGGCACGACGTTGCTGTTAATATGACTATTGTTGTTGTTGTTGTTTATGCTGGTATTTGTTGGTGGTGGCACAGCGCCAGCTGCAGCTGCTGCAGCAGCAGCGGCGGCGGCGGCAGCAGCGGCAACAGCGGACGCAACCGAAGCGGTGAGTGTGGGTTGCGGCGCGTTGGCAGCGGCTACGGTGTGCGTTGCGTTGGTGCTAAGGTTGGTGGGGTGTTGTTGGATCGGCGCGATGGGTTGTGCGGTGGCGGCTGTGGGCGATGTAGTCGGTCGAGTTGAAACGGCGTTCTGTAAAAAACAAGTAACAGCGGTATAAATAAATGTTTCAAAGGCACTAGTAATAAAGGGAGCTGGAGTGCTTCAAAGGTATTGCATTGGTAGTACAGTAGGGCTTTTTTTATTATTGCCAACAGCAGCGGCACATGCACAAATAGTAATATTTGTATGTAAAAATAAATAGAAAATTTAATTAAAAAGGCTTGTACCGTTATCAGCTGTACGTACTGCAAGGGACGCACGCGCTGATAAGCTACTTCTACTGCTGAGGCAGCGACGGTAATAACTTTTTTCCTATAATTTTATAACTGCTCAGCACTGCAGTTATTTGCTAAGTTGTCTCATTTGGTATCAACAAATCAATACTAAGTCAACAAATCGGTTATTCCACATGCAGTTTATGTTTGTATGTATACATATCATATATGAGTGCTCAAGAGCTGGAGCTTCAAAGGCCTAGCCGCTTACCGACAAATCATGTAATAGATTGACAGTATTGATTTAAATTACACGTTCCAAAAGGCTCAACAACAACAATACTATAGTTTAGTATGCACTCAAATGCACCGGTGCAAATCCAAATGCGGTAAACTGCCATGAACCGGCTTTGACTGTACGCGAGCTGCAATTACTAGTACCAAGCGTTGCACTTCAGTAAGGGCACCGAGCATTGTGTGTGTAATGAAAGGCCTCTCAAGTGCTATCGTAACACTGGACACGTGGTTATCTACGAAACATCGTAAAGTTAAAACATCAATAATGGCATTGGTGGTGATTTGGCAATTAAAAGGTTCGATTGGAGCCAAACCAGTTTTCGCTATGTCAACGGTCTAACACCAAAGTAATCTTAAAGTAAGCTTTATCGATTCATCACCACATTTGCGCTATTTAAGATGCGCCAGAGCTTAGAGAACAGTAAAAGAAGATAAGACTTATAATAGATTGACAGAAAAACAGTCTTGGTTGGATAAAGGTGTAAGATTAGTCGGGTATTTTTAAAAAATAAAATTTTTAAGCGTACACTTAAGGGTTCCCAAAAAATAAATCGGTTGGTAGAATAGCGAAGTAAAACATTTCAAATGTCCAATCCGGTGTAGTATCAAAGAGATCGGGTCCGTCAGTTTCAATACGTAAATCTTAAAACGCCTTTTTCTCATAACTGTACTTTTCAAATCGCGCGCTGTAGGTTCTTAAAGATTAGTGAAGGGTGTTTTCGAAGATTAGCCTAATAGCCGCCATCTGGCATAAAAAGTCAGTATAATTCTTTTTTTTTCTTTGAGATATCAATCTGAAATTTTGCACAAGTCCTTTTCTACCAAAGAAGCTGCTCATTTATCGGAAGCACCGATATCGCACCACTATAGCACATAGCTGTCATTACAAACTGAACGATCAAATACATGTTCTTGTATGGAAAACACTTTTATTTTACAAGATATCTTTACGCATTTAGCTGCCATACAAACTGATCGATAGAAATACGAGAGTATGAAAACCTTTTGCATTTGATGTGATATCTTCACAAAATAAATGTTTTTTTTTTTCAAAGTAACGGTAAAATATCTAAAAAAAATTGTTCAGGTCGGACTACTATAGCATATAGCTGCCATACAAACTGACCGATTGGAATCAAGTTAAAGCTTTTTTTGTGCCCTTTTATGCTATAATAAATGCACTTGTTAAGGGTATTTTAGCTTCAGTGTAGCCGAAGTTAACGTTCTTACTTTTTCTTTTTGTATATACAATATTTAAAATATCTACAAGTATATATCTAATAAATTCAGGAAGAAATTAATTCATGACCCTTTTCTTTACTCCCAAAATAAAAAGTCAAAAGTGAGGCACTTTTTCAAAGCTTCAGACGAGCCTTAGCTCTTAATTTGAAGGCGTGATGTAATAAGTTTAAGTTTTAAGTTTATTAAGACGAAGACTGTAGTAATTTTTGAACATAACTGTACTTAATTTCAGGCCACATTAGTTTTACAACAATATAGAAGAATGTCTACACTACAGCAAATAAACGTTTAATATTGCAAAATGACTGTAAATCGATAAGTTTATTGTAAATTATGACAGTAATACCAAAAAAAAAACCTGCCAACAACCTAAACATTGTATGTTGCAAACACGTATTATTTGAAGCGCGTGTGGCACTAACGCGATATTCGTGTTCATTTGCAACCGGCAATATAGAATTGTGCATAAACGCCGTAAATGTAGAAAACTTCTTCATAGCCGCGCATTTTACTTTGCTTGACTTCTTGGCGGCGTTTGTTGACGTTCAAGTTGAAATTGTTGTATTTGACTTGTTTCAAGTGACAACTGAAAGTGTTTGATTTGTTATTATTTGTAATATTACAGCTCATGTTTTCAACAGTATTTATTTATTTATTTGCTGTATGCAATTTATTTATTTAATAAATAACAACGACACATTCATATACCACTAAACATGTGTGTATATATATGAGAAAGCATATGTATGCGTGTACATATGTATTTCAAAATATACATATATATATAATACGAACAAACGCGTTTATGCGACATTTTCTGTAAGCAACAACCAAGCATTAATTGACACAACAAATCGAAAACATATCCAACACATATTGTATAAAAAAAAAGCATAAGAATATTAAGCAAAAAAAATGTAAAACTAAATACAAACAACTGCACCAATCATGGCCGGCCATCAGTTTGATTGAAAGCGCTTTGAATCTGCCGCTCCTGTTTATTTGCTTGAAGCGCTGCCCCTGCGTTATCGGTGAGCAAAGCAACTTTGTCGTCGTCGTCATCGTAATTGTTGTCGCAGTCATTGTCGATATCGCCATAATCTCTGCACACAGCTCAACCAGCTAATAGCTCGCTTATGTTGCTTTAGTTACATACTTGCATGTAGTTTTTGTAGCAATATTTGTTGTTGTTTATTCAACATATTAAAGTCGCCCATTTTAAATTCCGTCCATACGCTGCTGCAGCAATTGTTTAGAATTATTATTTTTTAATCGCATATAGCCACTTGAGCGCGCCACTTCTTTAGTGGCCCTGCATTTAGCCACTAAAAAAAAAACTTTTTATAGTACGCTCATAGGCACATGATAAGCATTAGCTCATATATACATATGTATATATGTATGTACATATTATTGGTATAACTATATCTAATATTAGGCGTTGCATATAAATAGTGGTTTGTTTTGATTAGATCTTTATATGCCGATGGTTATGCTCCAAGCGCATTCCAAGGAGCAAGTTAACGTAAGTTTTAAATTTTTTAGTATCAATAGCTTATATGCGCATACAACTTTTAGATGAGATGTAATATTTAGTTTTAACATTTTTTTTTAAATAAAATTTAATTGAATAAAATACCGCCCTTACCGTGCTCAAAAGCATTTCTTTTATAGTTATGATTTATATACATATTTATTTTTGGATCTTTTAAAAAAAAAAAATTGTAAAACGATTACGAAAAAGTTATTTTAATTTTTTTATTATTATATATAATATCAATATCTGCAAAATAATGTATAATATTTAATATACATAAATATATAAGCAAAATATTTGATTATATAACTAAAACTAACTAAATTTCAAGCCGAGTAACTAAGTCATGAGCCATTTTGGCTTATTGTACAATACTAATGAACGCGCTTTAAAAATCAAAAATTTCTTTGCATTTTTTTTATTAAAATGAAAAACAAGTTTACTCTCTTGTTTTTAGTAAAAATTGCAAGAAAATGTTCATTTTATCATCAATATATAATTCAATTATGTTTATTTTCATCTTTAATCCAATAAAATCTTACGTTTTCATAAACAAATATTTATACCCTGAACAGAGTATATTAATTTTGCCACGAAGTTTCTAACAGCCTGAAGTAAACGACGAAGACCCCTGAAGTAAAAGACGAAGAAGAAATAAGTTTTAAAAAAATATTTAGCGTCGCGAGCTGAGTTGATTTAGATATGTCCGTCTGTCTATACGCGAACTATTCCCTCAGTTTATGAGATATCGATCAGAAATTGTGCAAATGTCCTTTTCACCTTAAGCAACTGCTCGTTTGTCAGAACTGTCGATATTGTATGACATTTATAAGCTATAGTGTTATAAATGTCATACAAACTGAACGATCGAAATCATGTCTTTGTATGGAAAACTATTTTCATATGACGAGATATTATTCAAATCGGATGACTATAGCATAAAGCGACCATACAAACTCAAAATCGACCGATCAAAATCAAGTTCTTGCATGGAATCTTTTGTATTTGTGAAGGATATTATAGCTTCGGCGCAACCGAAATTAACGTTTTTTCTTATTTTTTTTTTATATTTCTGTGCTTTTTAAGATTTTTGCTTAGAACAGCTCTTATATATTACCTATCTTTATTACCCAAATTTTATTAATTTTGACAAAGATCTGTTTTGATGTGCTTGGAGAAAAAAAAAAACAATAAATAATATATAAAAAAAAATGAAAAATATATACTTTATGAACACTTTATAACATGATAAATATCTTAAGCGCAACCGATTGCAACATTCTGCCAACACACGCTTCGCTATAATTTATGAAGCAGAAAACAGAAGATTTTTGTAGATAATAACTCGACGAGATGTTCTTGCTAATCTTGCAAGCAAAACAAATGTTTCATAACTTTTCGTTTAATCACGCTATTTGGCTTTGTCCATTATTAATATATATGTATGTATGTATTTAAGATCAATAAATAAACACACCTTTGCCACACTGTTTGCCACAAAACTAAAGAATTCATTTTAAGGCAAACCAAAATAGAATTTCAAATGAAATAGAAAATTCAACGATTACAACAACTTAAGATTATGCGAATTCAGCGCTGCCACTTGCATACATACACATATACGTGCTTATATAAGTTGGCAAAGAATGTCGCTGCATGTAAGTACATATTAGCGAGCGCTATTTGTACGCTTAGGTAAACATATGTACTTTGAACATCGCTGAAAAATGCAACAAATT